GGAGTTATGAATTGGAGTTTGCAAAGACAAACACTTACGAAAACTAATACCAGACAAGGAAGAGACTTATGAGTCTAATAAGGAGATGTTGATGCGTCAGTTGAGAGGCGTCGAAGTCGTAACAAAAGAGGATGTTTTGTAAATTGCACGCAACGGAGCAGATATTTATCGGATAAGTATTGACGTCTCAATTGAAGAGGAGGTTCCACACACTCGACTTGCAACGCATTGATGGGACTCGACTTCATTGCTCCCAGAATAATTCTTAAAGCTTTAGATTGCACTCTATCAATTTTTTTAAATGCCGATGAGTAACATGGGTCAAGAATAAAAGATGCATAATCAAAAAGACTCCTAATAAGTGAATTATATAATAATTTCAAACAAAAAGAATGTGCTCCCCACCAAACACCCGTTAAACATTTGATAATATTCAGGTTTTTCTCACATTTAGCTACGATGTAATCTGAGTGTGGAATACCAGTAAGCTTGGAATCTAAAATAACCCCCAAAAATTTAGTTTGAGGTACAAAGGAAAGAGGAATATTATTATAAACCACATTAGGTATTGGTGGATTACGTTTTCTAGAAAATAAGACAACAGTGCTTTTGGGAATGGAAAGTTCAAGGCCATTTGTATCTAGCCAACGTTTCAAATGTTGAAGAGACTGTGTCATTGAGTAAGATGCTTTTTGAACACAACCGTTTACATTGTACAGCAAAAGATCGTCAGCGTATTGAAGAATTTTAACAGAATTATTAAGTGAGGACTCTAAGTCATGTGTATATATATTATAAAGAATAGGGCTAAGAACAGAGCCTTGGGGAAGACCCTTCCATACATAACGAGTTAACTTAGCGCCATCCTGAAGATGTAAATTGATATATCTTTCAGACAACATATTTATGATAAAAGAAGATAACATTACGGGAATTCGTAAATCATATAATTTCTTTTGAAGCAGAGAAATTAAGACATTATCATATGCTGCACTGATATCCAAAAAAGCCGATAAAACAGATTCATTATTTGTAAAAGCCAAACGGATATCCATCACAAATATACTAATATTATCAAATGTGCTTTTACCTTTTCTAAATCCAAATTGGCTTGACGCCAACAAACCATTGCTTTCAACAAACCATTCCAAACGGTTTTTAACCAAGTGTTCAGCTAACTTTAAAAGTACGGATGAAAGAGCTATAGGACGAAAAGAGGAAGCATCCGACGCTAACTTGCCAGGTTTTAAGATTGGTATTATAGATTGATATTTCCATGATTTAGGGATGTTACCTGACAACATAACTGAGTTTACTATATCCAAAAAGTATTTAAGGGTCCTGTCGTTACAATTTATGAAAAATGAATATGGGATGCCGTCTTCACCTGGAGATGAATTCTTAACGAGAGAAAGCACACCTTTCAATTCGTTTAAAGAAAAGGGAGAATTAAGGACAGGGTGGTCTCCGGAGGAAAAAGAAGGAACAGAGCAAGTCATTAAATTAGGAGCTGAAGCTGGAGCCAACTTATCCAAAAATTTATTTGCTAATTCAGATGGAAAATTGGGAGTTGATGAAGAATTAAATGCGCTTCGAAACCTTCTAATTTTTTCCCAGACAAAGACGGGACTAACGTCAGGAGATATAGATTCACAGAACTTCTTCCATCCATCAAATTTCTTTTTTTTTAAAAGCTTACGGGTGTTACGTGCGACTTGTGAATAAATTTCAAAATTTTCAGAAGTCATGCACTGACCATAAATTCTTTCAGCTTCCTTCCTTCTCTTGATAGCCTCAGTGCATTCACAATCCCACCAAGGAGGCAATGGAAGTCTATCTGGATAACCTTTTTTAATGGGAAACAATTCATCTGCAACTTCAAGAAGCATTTTAACAAGAGAATCTGAACAATGAGATTCATCATGAGTAGAAACAGATGGAAGTGAAGAAGTTCTATTTTCAACCCGCTGAGAAAATACAGTCCAGTCATGAGGAAATCTATACTTTATGCGGGGACTGGGTTTTTGTGTAGGCATATGGCGAATAAAAGGAAATGAAATTATAATAGGAATGTGGTCACTACCACAGGAAGAAGTATGCAAATGCCATGAGAGCGAGGATGCTAAATCAGGCGTGGATACAGAGAGATCAGGCGCACTTAATCCTTCACCTGGACCTGTGAGACGCTATAGGAGCGCCATTATTCAAAATACAGAGATTTTGAGAGTCAAGTATATCTAACATTAAGTCTCCAAAACTATTACATGAAGAGCTTCCCCATGATTGATGATGACAGTTAAAATCGCCTAATGCTAAAAAAGGTTTTGGTAAAACTGAAAATAAATTGTTGACTTCATTAAATAAAGCTGTTGAAGGATGTGGAATGAAAATAGATACGAAACATATACCATTCACAATTATTGCTATAGCATCTATGCCATCACTTAAAGTGGGTAATTGTAAGAGTTGGTAAGATAAAGAATTTTTAATGATTATGGCGACACCGCCATACCCATCAGATCTGTCTTTTCTAAGGGTGGAATAACCAGTTACTTTGAAAGGATAGCCAGGTTTCAACCATGTTTCTGAAAGACAAAGCATAAAGGGATGAAGTGCATTTATTAAATAAAAAATGTCAGATTTTTTACTGGAGGCACTTCTACAGTTCCACTGTAGAATTACTGGGTCCATATTCAGGACGAATTAAAACAGAATTTTCAATAACATTGGCAACGTAGGACGGTTCAAATTTAGTCTGAATCATATTTGATTTAGTCAAGAAATTTACAATGGCTATAATGATGTCCGAGATAGATGTCTGTGAACTAGTATCAGAAGAGGCTTTAAGTGCTGAACCATTAGGGAAAGCTAAAGGTATGTTGTAATCCTTTGCAAATGAATCATGTGCAGCACGATCATACCCACCCGCTACTTTAGGAGGGGACCGTGGTTGAACAAACACTGTTTTTTTATAAGATTTATTAGTTGAATGAGCCTCTGCTGAAACTGTGTAGTTATTGTTCAGCCTACTATCATTAGATTTTTGTTGAGAGGAGCGAACTGCATCAGCAAAAGATCTTGAAATTGGAGGGTGATGTTTTGATGCTTCGGAATATGATATACTACTTTGGGCCATGGACACTTTAATTTCTTTTTGACGGGCAAATTCAGGACAGGATTTGCTATTTGCAAAATGGAATCCAGAACATAGGCAACAAAAAGCATAATCTACATGTACTGAGCAGGTTTCAGCAGTATGGTCTTCACCACATTTTAGGCAACGGGGTTTGGATCTACACTGCATTTTGGTATGACCATAACGGCAACAACGATAACATTGTATTGTAGGATATATATACAGTTCAACAGATAAAGCAGTATAGCACATATAAATGCGCTTTGGTAAAACTTGTCCATCAAAGGCGAAAATTACAGTTTCCGAGTTATTAAATATCGCAGTCCCACTTACAATAGTTTTCCGCTTGATACGTCTAACTTTAATAATTTTACCGCACCCAATAGGCACTGAAACATTTTCAAGAACTTCATCATCTGTCCAATCGGCAGGGACACCACGCACTACTCCCATACGAGTCACATTGAAAGTAGGAATAAAAGCTTTAAATTTGTGACTGGCAAGACTGGGGTCATCAACAAAGTTATTCGCATCAGCAACACTAGAGAAAGCCAAACTAAGCCTGTTGCGACCTATTCTTTTCAAACTTCCGTTTACAATGTTTTTAACAGAGTTCTTTTTTAAAAAGTTTCCAAACTGCACAGGATGGAGCGTAACACGATCATCAGCTGTACTTTGTTCTTTCTGGACATGTACTACGTATGGGGCTAAATCTGTCACCTCATACTTCCTACCACCCTGCGGCCTTGAATTTGAAACAGAATCACCAACATTTGTTACAACATTGTTAGTACTATTATTAGCACCAACAATGCTAGCATTGGCATCAGCAACAATAGGCAATTTAAATTTCTTGGAACATTCTTCTTCAGATTCAGAACATTGACAATAGTGTAAAGAGACTGGTTTGCCATCTCTTTTCCTACGTTTTTTATTACAATGACGGCAGATTTTCCGGGGTTTAACTCTTTTACGGTCAGGCATAGGAAGGCTGCCTTCAGTGTCCATTGATGAGTCGTCAATAACAACATTATAGGCTACTGGAGGCCCAGAGCCTCCTCCTGGGTCATCAGGGGGATCGACCCCCATATTAAAGAAAGACTCACTTACCTATATACGAACACTATACACTAATTACAAAAAATATTACATAAACTATAACTAAAAGAAAGAGTAAATACAAAAATTTACACAAATAACTCTAACGATCCCAAATTAAATTAATTTGAAAATAAGAAAGTAAAAACACGTCCGCCAAATCAAAGGTTTCCCGCGCTTTTTTTTTTCGAAATCTAGTTTAAAGTGAAATAGGATAGTGCTATTGTGCCTTAATCGAAGATTAAAACGCGAAATTATACGAATCTCGAATTGAAATACCCGTAACAGCCCGTTTTAAGGAATCCCGAGTTAATCCTAGCACGCCGCCTCAAATTGTCTATCCTTTTTGTGGCGGCCATATTTACAGAAACATAATTTAAACTTCATGTTTAGGCTGACGGCTTTGCCAAAGCCTTAAAAACTTAAAAAAAAAAAAAAATTGACGCATTGACAGTTGACAGCTGACTGATTTGTTTGATTTGGTTTTTGTGTGAAATAATCTTAGATTAATTTGTTTTTTTCCATCCTCTAAGGATATAATTGATTTTTTAGCAAAAAAAATATGAATTCGACAGAAAATTCTTATTGTCGACTATGTGCAGAGTTAAAACCTATGAAAAAACTTATAAATCTACACAGAGAAGAGAAGAAACGGCAAGAAATCGCTGAAAAACTAGACCAACTTAATGCTGGTACAAATTTTGATGAGGATCTTTTGCCACAGACAGTTTGTTTCGTATGTTTAAGTGCCTTAGATCGAGCATTTGATTTCGTTATGGGTATAAGACAAGCTCAAGGTGTATTAAATAGTTTACTTTTGATTCAAGACATTAAAAAGGAGGTCGACACGTTTTCGAACGATGGAGATTCCATGTATGATGTAAATGATGAAATTAAGGATGAAGATGTAAGTGTTAAAATTAAAATAGAAAGCGAAAAGCATAATGAACAATCTAGTAGCAAAAAAGTGCTGAAACAATTAAAAAATGTGTCTAAAAACTTTTCTGTGGACAATATACCTCTTTCTCAATTAAAATTAACTTGGAAAGACTATGATTGGACATGTGCCATATGCGGTACACAATTCCCTACAATCGACGAGTTGGTGTCCCATTCTATTGCATATCACAAGTGTTGTAATGCATTCCGATGTACAGACTGTAACATCCGTAAACTAAGACTCCAAGGTTTCCTAAAACACGTAAAACAACATAGGAAATATTTAAGACTATCCTGTTTTAAGTGTTTTTCTAAATTTTCGAGTACTAGAGATACTAATACACATGCTATGAAGCATATTAATAGTGAAAACGTATGTCCGGGATGCAATTCAACTTTTGAAGTGTCAAAATTGTTGGAAGACCATACAAAAACGTACTACCAAGCTAAAAGGTCACGTTTCAATCCCATAATGCAGAAGATGTCAGACAATCTCACTTGTGTGCTATGTAAAAAGACATTTAAGAATAAAAGCAGTTTAAACACCCATTTACTAATACATACAGACCGTAAACGTGATCATACTTGTGAGAAATGCGGAAAATGTTTCTTAAGCAAACAAAATTTAGCTGGACATATTATGACATTACATGACAATGTACGTCCATATCCATGTGAAATATGCAAGGCTGCTTTCAAAACCCAATCTCAATTAAGAAATCATGTTGGTGTTCATGATAATAAGAAACCATTTGCCTGTGAAATATGTGGAAGATGTTTCCGACTCCAAAAGCAATTAATCTCCCATAGCATCATTCACACAGACTCCTTACCATACATTTGTTCTTTCTGCAGCAAGAGATTCCGTTTTAAAACAATACTGAATCAACATTTACGCCAACATACTGGAATACGCCCATATTCATGTGATACTTGTCAAAGAGATTTCACGAATTGGCCAAATTATAATAAACACATGAAAAGAAAGCATGGCACAGATATGGCAAAGAAAAAACATACTCCAGAAGGTTTATATCCCATTGATCCCAATACTGGTGAAGTTGTAATTCAACCAGAGTCTGATAATCTATTGGAGTGGAAGAAAGAAATGATGAAACAAAGAAGGCCTGGACGACCTGGACGTACAGCAAATGTTAATGAAAAGAAATCTGATTTGGGACTAAAACAAGATGACCATGATTTAAAGTGACAAAAAAGTAACTAGTAAATGTCAATAAGACGAACTGTGGCATGTTATATTGTAACTTTGAGCGTCACAATTTGTGGAATATTCATTTGTTAATGATACATCAAAAGCAGTGATGAGAGGATAAAAAAAATGAGTGAAGAAACACAATGACACATTCCTTCAATCCTAGTGGTCTCAAACAAGTGTCTATTAGCCATTGCTCCACCTCTCACCAACTGAGCTACAGATTAATTTAGCAGATCTAACAAATTTCTCATTGGCTTTAAATTACTTTTTTGCCATATGTCACCTATGAGAAACTTACGCAAGTTTCTTATATGAATATCACGGTAGTAGAGACATCATGATATTCAATAAAATTACTTTTTATCAAAAAATAAGTTTTTATTCATGTTATAAAGTAATATACTTAGATAACTTTTCAAAACATTATATTGTGAAAGTTATTGCTCGTTGTGGAACTTGAATTATAAGTATATGTTATTTTTTGTTAATTATTAATTTATAACGAACCAACGACGTTGGCACACGCAATAATATATTTTACGAATTATCTGGGTACATGGTAGTGTACCTACCAAATTGATTTAATTTAGAACATAATAAATGCTAGTTACTTAATGTAGATAGATAGAAATAGGTACTTTATAAATAATTATGGTTTATAGTAATCTGTTTTTTGTTTTATGCAATTTTAATATGTATAAATTGCAGTTATGTTAAGGAATTAATTTGATTGTTGTAAATGTAATAATATCACTTGTATATTACATATGTTTTAAATTTTTAAAAGGCAAACGGAAACTAAATTTATTCATTCATTTATTGCATTTTTACTTTTTTCAGGAGTCAGGAAATAAAATTTTAGTTAATAGAGTCCACAGGCCTACCGCTTAACTGAGTCAGTCCCACACTTAGCATTTTCATTTTATTTTATATTTATATTTATACAAAACTTTGTATTAAGGTTTGTCTGTTAAGTATGTAATCCTATTACCATGATTTTGTTGTTTATGGTTTGTTTTATGCCTGATATAAATGTCTATTATTATACAGTTACTTCATAATTTTGTATACAAACATTATTATGCGCTTGCTAGGGATAACTGTCACTGTAATCTCATGGTAGCGGTAATAGGCATATAATTTTGACGGCTTCTTATCAACTTCTAACTATTTATAAATTTTAACTATCGGCCTTCTAAAATTGTGGAATAGTGGAATGGCGTCAATTAATTTGACAGTTCTGAAGTTAAATGGACAAAAAGGACAACTTTTTGTTAGGTACTAGATAATGAACGAGACTAATATTAACGTTTCAAACAACAGTTATCTCCTCTCGTGTACCCCAGTAATATCCCGTGCGAGCACACTTAGGAGCATGTAAAACTTGACATTTAAGATATAATTTCAACTTTATTATATAAAATCAAGTCAAGGTTGTACACTTGATTGTAGCAAATTCCTTATAATAACTGCGGGGTATTACTTGGAATACTCCGACATTACAAAATTTATTTTCCTATTTTGGTCCTGCCGAGAATCAAACCCAAAGAAATTTCATTAAGCGCTTAACTTAAATTGGGTATAGTTTCCGTTTGTCCGAAACGACAATATGCATTTATTTAATATTACCTGCGAAGATTTTGTTGTATTTTATTCGAAATAAAAAATAAATTATTTTTATAACATTTATTTATATGCTAACAATGCCAAACATCTAGGTGATATATTTGCATCAAATATTTTCTTGAATGTGCAATTATTTAATCCATTTTCTTTTAAATAAACTAACCTATCATATAAAATAAAATTTTCTATCACTGGCTGTAAATAATTTTGTAATAAAACGAACACGGCGGCCTTTTTGAAAATAGAACTTGACAGTCCCCGCCATATTGAATTTAATTCTTCCGAATCGAAGTTTGTAGTATTCTGTTCGTTTTGTTCACTGGTAGAAAGTTGATTATCTATTAACGTGAAACCAATAACAGCATCTTGTACGTAATTTAGAAAATCATTGTTTGTCGATTTCGTTTTCACTGCTTTTCTTTTGTTTCTTTTTAATTTGCAGTTATCTAAAAAAAGAAAAAATATAAACATTTAATTAAAATTGTCATTTTAAAAGCCATGTACATACTTTCGGTAGCGCTTGACCTATTCGCGTGCCTCACTTATTAACTTGAGATAAAAAAATTCAAAGAAACGTGAGAGTGTTAAATAATACTATGTTTCCAAGTACGGGAGGAATTTTTCTATAATAGCGGCCATATTGGAGAAAATGGTGGGAAATTAATATGAAGGCGTTACAGTTAAATACTTACGTTTCAAAGCATAAAGTTGTAGCACAGCTCTTGCCATCAAATTAAACACTAATTTATCCAAACTCGCGTCGGTTTTTGGCGGTTGTGCCGCCAGTCTCAAAAACGGCACTTTCAAAAATTCAAATCCACAATGCCCTTCAAAAATCTCCTTCAAACACGCACTTAGGGGGAAGTTTTTGAATGTCTCGTTTTTGAAGTCGGCTAAACACATCTTGTGGTAACAACATGGCATTAGAACCATTGATTTGGCGTTATCCATTTTGAGAAATAGATTTATTGCATCTACTGTTAAATCTGCACAAGCATGGAGACCTGAAAGAAATATGATTTCAAAAACAAAATTATAAGCTAAAATACGGTAGGATCTATAAAGCCCAGGCTAGTAATCCTTTGAGTTACTTGAAAATAAGTGCTGGCCAATTTATACAAAACTGATGGCAGCTGCAGCAAAAAATTTTGAGTATATTGTTGGTTTCATCAAAAGGTCCTAATTTTACGAAGAGAAAGCAGGCCTTCTTTGAGACTGGCGATAAAGAAAGTATTGCTAAAATATTGACAGCGTAAATCGAAGAATGGCTTGACCATTTGAGCGTTCATTCATCTTATAAACAAAACATTGTTTTGACTGCTTAAATGTCGGAGATGTATCATAAAATCTCTTTGAATAAGTCTATATTGTGTGAATAACACGCATTGGAATATAACATAAATCTCCTTAGTGCGAATATCACACTGCCTCGCACTGCGCCCCGCACTCCCGCGCGGAGCCGGGTTAGAGTGTTGTACGGCGCGTGTTTTCTATACAAACAGATATTGCGGCACAACGTTAAAAATCGCAGCTTCGCGGAGCAGTGTGATAATCGCCTTAGCCGTGGGCGGAAATGGTTTGCTGCCGCCTAATTTACCTGCAATACAAAACCCTTGATAATCGCCAAATTTGTCGTACAAAAATCTTTCAATATTTTCATTGGAATCATCTCCAATAGTATGTTTGATATACTTAACGTTATCTAGAGATTTGTCATGATATTTCCTCTGTCGTCTTTTTGCATTTACGTAATGGTTCTCATTGCATTCTATTCCCAGAACTTTTAGGTTTGTCGTCTCGTATAATAATTGGTCCAGATAGCCCTGGAAAGTAACGAAACGAAGTTGATTTTTTTATTTAATTTTTTTGGTATATTTCGGTATCTTGATCAAATTGACTTTTCTTTTCAGTTTCGCCCTTCTTTGATAAAAAATTTCAAAGTTGGTTGATAGGTCGATTTCTATTATAAGAGAGGCAGATTAGTTAAAAATATAACTGACAACCCGTTTGTGAATCGCGGTAAGGTTGACCGCGTCAGTAATTAATAGAGCTCGTTTATCCACCTAAGGGTCGTATTTCAGAACTCTACTCATTGCTCGAGTCAGGATTTGAGTATGGTTTAATGCGCTCGAAATCATACTCAAGTCCTGACTTGAGCATTTAGTAGAGTTCTCTACTCAATGCTCAAGTCAGGACTTTAGTATAATTCAAAGCACTAGAAATCATACTCAAGTCCTTGCCATTAGGGTCGTATTTCCATTGCTTGAAATCATACTCAAGTCTGTTCAAATCCTGACTTGAGCATTGAGTAGAGTTCTAGAATACATAGTGGTGGAATGCGTAGTTGCATCGCTACACTTGTAATTTAACCACTCTTATTAAGTGTCGTATTCTAGAACTCTACTCAATGCTCAAGTCAGGACTTGAGTATGATTCAAAGCACTAGAAATCATACTCAAGTCCTTGCCATTAGGGTCGTATTTCCAGAGCTTGAAATCATACTCAAGTCTGCTCAAATCCTGACTTGAGCATTGAGTAGAGTTCTAGAATACGTGGTTGCATCGCTACACTTGTAATTTAACCACTCTTAGGGTCGTATTCTAGAACTCTACTCAATGCTCAAGTCAGGATTGCAATTGAAACACAAGCACTGGAAATACGACCCTAATGGCGAGGACTTGAGTATGATTTTCAGTGCTCACTGCAATACTCAAGTCCTGACTTGAGCATTGAGTAGAGTTCTGGAATACGACCCTAAGAGTGATGCAACCACGCGTTGTATCGATGCAGTCGCGTATGCATCATTGCTTAAAATCGCGCATGTGTGTAAAGCATTATAAAAGGATGGGAACGACTAGAAAAAAATAAATGGCGGGTTTTAATAGTCCGTTTTTAACACGAATTAATTTTTAGTTTATGTGTATTAAGATGTGCGTTTCTTGATTATTTATTACCATTAAGCTGATGGCTCTGAAGCCAATGCTTTATAAATAAATAAATAAAATAAAAAAGAACGACTAGAGGGACAAAAACGATGATCTTCAACGTAATAAAAAAACAGTATTCCAGATTCTTCAAACAAAGCATTATAAATAACCGAGAATTAATGCAACAAAATAATACTCCTTTAATAATATGCCAGACAACCACACCAGTTATCTGGCCTCTAACTAAGGAATTATCTATAGGTAGGTACAGTCAAGAGCACGTCAAGCTTGACACTTTGTACCGTGTTCTTAACGTAAGCGGCATAGAGTTGGATTTAAGACTTAAATGTCAAGCTTGACTTGCTCTCGACCCTATACTATGAATGTCAGAGCAACGAAATTCACTCGGGGTAATGCCCAGAACACCGACACATCCGAGTAATGCTGTTCTAGTTAATATAAGAAATCAGTCTTACCAATCCCGATCCAAAATCCACAACTACATCACATGGACTCTGTTCACACACATCTGCAATTTCTTTAGCCATATACACAATTTCATGTGCTTTCTTAGGACTAACAGGGACATCAACTTTATCTTCAATATCTTTATGAAATTCTCCATATTCAAATTTGAATTTATCACGCTTTTCGAAGAACCCGTTAAGAAACTCAAAGTTACAGTTTAAGGGTAGATTAAAATCTTTTTCAAGAACGTCTACGTTTTCTAAATTTGTAATGTCTATGACATCCAAGATGTTTTTTACTAGAATATCAGTGTTGGCAAAGTTGAATAAATACTGATATTCTTTGAAAAAGCTAATGACTTCTTCAAAATAATCTTGTGGTGTAGAGAATTGCTGTGGTAAACTCATGGTTTGGGATCTGAAATTAAAATTTCCTGTTTAATTCTGAACGTTTAGATCCAACGACGTTTTAGATCCAAGAGGGTTCTGGCAAAATAAAAGTAAATAATAGGGTCAAAATATTTATTAAGTCTCAACTTTTATAACACAGCATAAATAATTAATGCAATTCTAAAATATTTGACTAACTATCAAAGGCGACCATCTTCCTCTAACAAATATCGTCAAGACGAAACCTTTCATACTTACTTTATTACGTCTTTTATAGATAGACCTTTTAATTTTAGACTATATTCTCCAACAGTTTCTAAAATATTGTTTACAATTTTTTTGCACCGTAATTAACAAAAACTCCATAAAATTTTGAAGACTTGACATCACCAACATAACATGTTGCATTTGGCGTACACTAGTTAGACTGGCTTAAGCTTTTGTTTGTCGCAAGTTTTGCAAAGAAATTCTCTGTCAGACTCTTCGCCCATTCATTTTTGTGTCTCGAATCTGTACCTATATGACATAAAGTACACATGTTTTAAAGACGAAGTGCCTTCCGTATCTAACCGAAAATTTCTTATAAGAAACCCTGAATCTATGCGGTCAGAAAAAATGCGCTACAAACAAAAGGTCCGATCTGTGACCAGATCCATAGCGGCGCGTCGTAGTTGTGCATGGATAGATAGACGTTCAGGCGTTCAAGCGTAGATATGTCCGGCTTCCGCTATAGTCCAGTGTTCAGTGCAAACCAAATCCTTTAGTTTGTTGTCTCTTTTAACTGTCATTAACAAGTGATCTCTTATGTACTTAAGTGAAATGTTTAACTAGTTTGAACGGTGTCTTGTTGAGGGCCGTTAATTACTTCCCACTTTTCATCTTGTTTTACCAATTTCTGCAAAGCGCTATCACCTATAACGCATTTGCCAGCCAAAACGTCAGATGCCAAATATTTTTCGCAAACTTCGATCAAATCCTCTTTAGTAACAGCTAAAACTCGTTCTCTCTGCGTCTTCCAAACATCGTACGAAAGTCCATAAAGGAAAAGATCAATTCCTTTCATGTATTCTGCAACAGGTTGGTCCATTTGCTGCAGAATCGAAAGTTTAGCCTCAAATAAGTTCTGGTCATCGACTAGATTTACATTTTCTTTCATCCACAGGTTCGTCTCATCAAATACGTCTAACGTAACTCTGGAATTAGGATCTCTGTACGAATAGAAGTTGAAAACTCCGTCCATTGTTAGCATGGCACCTCCGCCGTATGCGCCATTTTTCTCCCTGACAATAGGATGCAAGTACTTAGAAGTTAAAAATCGAGTGAGAACCCTTAATTTAGCATAATCAGGATTTGTGTAAGTGACTGTAGGGATCACTTTAGCGCAGAAGTTTATGGGAATGTTCATTGAAACATGCAGTCCTCTTTTTTCTTCCAGTATCACCTTGCTGTCGATCCAGTTGATGCGATTAACATCTTTGCTATCATCGATTTTGCAAAGTTCTGCACAAAATTTGTCAACAAGACCATAAATCTCTTTGTTAGTAGGGCTGTGGTGGAAAGCAGCTCTAAGGTTGTGGCCCTTCAGGACCTTTCGTCCAATTCCATCGACAATATCTTGGATGTCTTCAACCTGGTAATTTTTCAATATGTTTTGCATGTTCATTACATTTTTCAATCCCATCAAATTTTCTTTGCATTCATCCAGAGACGATACTAAAGACCTTGCTGTTTGCATGGCATAAGTGTGTCCACTGTCTATAACACCACTAGTTAGAGAGGAACAGTAGTTGTTTAGCAACATTTGCATTCTTTCACTGTTATCGAAGTTGGGTTTATCGAAGATTTCAGCCCAAATATCCAACATCTTCACAAGGTTTTCATCCAAACAATGATTGCTAATCAACAATCCTTGTTCATACTGTCCTTGCTGGTCAATGTGCTCAGTTATATGCAATAAGAAACTGAATCCTGCAGTGCACTTACTAATGAGTTTATCTAATTCTCTGTAGTTGTACAACTTAGTGTCAAATTTGTCAAGAATATACTTGAAGAACGGAAGTAGCTGCCGTTGTTTTTCATTTAGGGACTCTGTACCTACTATTCCTTTAAGATAACTCACGCCATTGGTGTTTGCCTCACATATTTGGAGAGGAACAGTCCCTGCAACCGAGTGTTTCAAAGATGGTGCAGTCTTGTTAAGGACAATATCATCAATTTTTAAACAAGGCAACACATCTAAGTTCTCTTTCTTTTTCTGAGCTTTAGCTAGCTCTTTGCCATCAATATATATCTGTTCTTTATCTTCTTTAGTTAAGTTTTTGATTTTTGTAGCCAATGATTTGGCTTCAGCATTATTGAAAGCCTCATCAAATTGCGCATGTGGCTGCATTAACATAGTGAGCTTATGATTGTTATTGATAAAGTAATCTTCAATGATATTCTTTAAATATTCAGGTTTCATCAAGTCTTGTTTTAGTTTTTGCAGCAAGTCATTTACTTTTAGAGCTGTCAATATGTGACCATCATGGTTCCACAAAGGCATTAGATTGAAGAGCATATTTAATCCGAATTTTGGGGATTGATGCTTGATGGATAGTTCAAAACCATGCAGTACACTTTCAATGTGGTCCTTTTCAAAACCGTTCTTGAATATATCTTGGATTGTTGTGTTAACAATACTTTCAATCTGATCAAAATTGGACTTGTCAACATCTCTAAGACCTACAACAAACACTGTATCTCTTATTTGATTGTCATATCCAGTGAGATTATTGTACCCTCCTGAAATATTTTTCTCAATCAGGCTTTTATAAAATGCTGAATTTGGTCCGATAATCATAAGTTCAGCCAAAGCTGTAAGTAGGAATGTCTCGTACACATTTGTATTGTCTGACATAACATAGCCTATTGCAATTTGGTTCTGTTTTTCCAGTGGTCCACCATATTGGTCAATTCTGCATGATATTTCTGACCTTTTAGGTGCTGTCCACCTTTCTTGGGGTGTAACTTCACTGTGTACTGGATCAAGATAAGAGTATTTACTCAAGTAGGCTTCGTTCAAGTATTTTAAATTTGCCTCTAATGGGAAGTTTCCATAGGAATATATTCTAGCATTGCTAGGATGATAATATGTAGCATGGAATTTTTGTAAATGCTCATGAGTTAAGTTTGGAATGCATAGTGGATCTCCTCCAGAAACATATCCATAAGTTCCATTTGGTAGTATTGTGTTCATAAATTTTTGTCCAAACAATTGGCTAGTTTCTGAAAAAGCTCCTTTCATTTCATTGTAAACTACGCCTTTGAAAACTAATTCTGAATTTTGGTCCTCTAAATTTTTGTGTTCCAGTCTCCAGCCCTCTTGGAGGAAATCTAGACGTGCCAGATTTGGTTTAAAGACAGCATCTAAGTAAACTTTTTGCAGGTTTCTGTAATCAATCTCGTTTTGCGAACAAAATGGGTAAAACGTATAATCAGGACCAGTTAATGCATTCATAAACGAAGCAAGTGACCGATTGAGCATTTTAAAGAATGGATCTCTAACTGGATATTTTTCAGAACCACATAAGACTGTATGTTCTAATATATGTGGAGTACCCATGGAATCCTTAGGAGTGGTACGAAAACCAACAGAAAATACATTGTTAGAATCGTCTCTTTCAAGATGTAAGTACTGGGTTTTGGTTACATTGTGTGAGAGGAAGTATGCAGTCATGTTGTATTCTTTTATGTGTTCCATGTCAGTACAGAGAAAGCCATGCATACTTTTGCCTGCAGAAATGTTGGCTTTGGTGATAGAGTCCTTCTTTTTGAGGATGCTGGTGCTGGACTGCCGGCGGACGGGCACCGACAGGCGACTATGGAGGCTCCGCCATCCATTATTCTGAATTCTTGAGTACATTATTTACGACTGCGCACTTTTCTTCCTGTAACACATCACTAACTGTTTTTAATCGTTCCAGCTAGTGAATATACATTTACCACCCATCAGTAAAGTCATCAAATGTTTTGGCATAAAAAATTACACGCATATTCTATTGATACCTATTTTTCGACTTAGCAGGTCGGAACATGAAAACAAATGAAAAATGGTGCAATAAATTGTATACTTACGAATATTCACTATTTGCAAAAAATCAATATCTTTAAGATTCCAGATATTTTTAATTATTTTATATCTATTTTAAGGCTTTGTACTGAAAATTCTTCATATTTTTCAAAATTATAACCTCACGATTTGGACCTTTTTTTTAATTTGTTGCATGACCTGGATACAAAGTATTTCAGTCGAAAACATTTTAACATTAACAAAAACAAAACAAAGGTTTAGAATTAGAACAAATTCAAATTAAGTAATTATTTATTTATATAGGATGTTAAGAATTAAATTTTTCTACCGTACTTATAATAAACTTACAGAGTGGGATAAAAAACTTATTATTGCGAAGAACACTGACTTGGTTTATGGTTTCGCCTTAGAGGATGGAAAAAAATTGTCTAAGGGTTTCGCCTAGGACGGAAAAAAGGGTTTCGCATACAACTATCGCTCACATGTCTTTTGTGTCCTTAGACCTTAGAGGATGAAAAAAATAAGACTTAACTTAGAGGATGGAAAAAAAATAAAAGAAGTACTTAAGGACAGCTTTTTTGAAAGTAACTCCGATTTTGTGAGCATTCACTCTGCACGCCACTTATTCCTTTAACATTTTCTGTGAAAAATTTAGTCAACGTTATGGGGTTTTTGTTTCTTATTTTGTCTTGTTCGGTAGATTCGACATATACGGTAAATTCTCCTATTTTGTTTTCCATAAATAATCTTTTGTAATTAGGCTTCGTATAAATTTTGTACTTATCATTCTCCTGTTGACTGAAGTCGCTGCCGGATACATCAGCATATTTCATTTTCTTCTTTTGTGCTGAGTCCCCCCACTAAGGTCAGGATCCATCTTCAAAATATGACAATTTGTAGCTAAAAAGTATTAAGAAAACTAATAAAAATTGAAATTAAACTCGAGAAGGAAAATTAAATTTGCCGCTCAGTTCGACTTCCCGCCAAAAAGTCCCCCGATTAGAATATTCTCCTTCTACGCTGTGCATTAAGCATATTTTTGGTATCTGCACTATCTTTACAATAAATCAGAATATTGATGTAATATTCATTTTAACCAAAGACGTAGTATGGTTTTAATGAAATACATATAAACTTAGAATAATAACGCATAGAATGATAGTTTCATATCAAACGAACTGTCCCAAATGAGGCAAAAATCAAATTCATGTAGGCTAGTTTTATTAGTAGGTTAATTTTCGGTTTTAGTGAATATTTATATAAAAATACAAGTTGAAACGCGTTACTTCCTTGTGGAATGTGATGTTAGTATCTATTTTACGTTTGTTTGACGTATTTTTACACTCATTTACCGCACATTTCGTCATTTTTAGCTAAAATTCTTGAGCTGTTCGCGGTGCAATTTGACCTTGAGCACTGAAGGCCCGCCCGCTCGTGTAAGCCCTTTGGGAGCGCTTCAATTTGCCTCACTTAGCGTGTGCGGGCTAGGTTTCTATGCGTTATTATTCTAAGCATATAAATAATGTAGGTCAATGTCAATAATATTCTGCTAGTTGTTTTATTTAACATTTTATCAATGTAATTTATCACGATTTGACAGGTGTGTTATGTGTTTCTGAACGTTCAGTTTCTGACATTTCTTTCTTTTAAACACGTGTGTGTAGAGATGCGTTTCGCATCGTGTTATTTTATTATTTACTAGTGAATAAATAATTCAAAATGAGTTTATACAACTTTAAAAAGATAGCTGTGGTCCCCACATCTAAGGTAAGTACTAAAAACCCTGTGTCCTTTTTCACTTCCATATAAAGTCAACATAAGTTTTACTAACCTAAAAAGTCGCATTTTTATTCACTTTCAGGACTTTATCGATATAATTTTGTCAAAAACACAAAGAAAGACACCAACAGTGGTCCACAAGCATTATAAAATATCACGAATACGTGGATTTTATATTAGAAAGGTCAAATATACACAACAGAACTTCCACGACAGATTATCGAGGATTATTCAGGTAAATAACCACTAAGCTGCATCCTGATTATTATTATTATCTATTGTAGAATGAGTATATCTCTTTATTTGTTTACATTATGTTTATTTACTAATTTATTGCACCATGTTGCTTTTTGCATTTTATTAAATTTCTATTACATATACACACAATAGGAAGGCAGAATAATCTTAGTACAGAGTACTAAAAATACCGACCTCAAAAGTATGTAGAATTACGTCTATTTGCTAAGTTTTATTGAAATATCCCCTAGTTCGCCACTATACAGGACATGACACTGGAGATAATAAAAATCGGTTATCACTACTCAAAGTATACTGAGAGAAAAACGCCTTGAATTGGAGAAATAGCAAAATCAACCATTAAAATAATTGCTCCTAAAGTAAAGTTTAGGCGCTACTTATAAAAATGAATCTTCATGCGTGAACGGCCACCCTCAGACGTGGACAATTTTCTTCAAAATGAAATGGGAGCACTATGGAAGTTTCCAAGAAAAAAGAATCATGAAAATGGGTTCACAAATACCGGAGTTTTCGCGTAACGTACATACAAAAAAAAAGAACATACAGTCAAATTGAGAACCTCCTCCTTTTTTGAAGTCGGTTAGTAAAATAATAAAATGGAAGGAAATGAAATAATAAATCTATTAGACAACAAGTGCTATTACAGAAATTTTGTAAAGTAAATTATTCTTACAGCATTTTCTTTAAACCTGCAAGAAACTAATTGACTTATTCTTATTAATCCTTGATATAGTTGATGTAATTGTTATGTTCTTTCCCTCATTACGTAAAACACTTATTTTCTTTTGCAACATAAATAACAAAGTTTGGAAACAACTGAACAACCGTTTTTGTTTTTTTTTTTGCCAAAGTGCAATTGGTGTAGTATGAGACAGTAAGCAGTTAATTTTTTTGATATATTTTTCCAAAAAAAAACCTAGCATACTTAATTCTAATTGCACACAACAACTTATCAAATAGTTTAATGTCAATGTTGCCATGCTTTAAAGAAATAATCACTCAAATAAGAAACTTTAATTTCCAGGAATTTCCAAAATTAGATGATGTTCATCCATTTTATGCTGATCTGATGAATGTGCTGTATGACAAAGACCACTACAAGCTTGGTCTGGGCCAGCTTAACACTGCACGCCATCTTATTGACACGTAAATTGAGTTGTTTTTGTCATAATATTTTATCTTGGTTGTCTGTCATTAATAGAAACTAAGCCGAATTTTGTGTCTGCTATTTTAATTTTTAACGCTGTAAAATAAAAAATGTGCGCTAAATCTGACTGAGTCAAATATCAACATCTAGTAGGAATGATGAATTGTTGTGATTTATTACTGTAATTTCTCCAACAACTTGCACAGCAGCAAAAATTTTCATTTTATAAGTAAATAAAAAAAAACAACAACTATCAATAATAACAAAAAAATCTTTAGTTCCCATTTTTGCAAAACTGTTTATGTTAAGTTAGGAAACTAGGTACTCATTGGGGAGCTGAAAACTAACCAAAGTCAAAGAATCAATTATTCCATAGATAAAATAAAACACTTGAAAATGTCACTTACTGGTCAATTACTATTTACCCTACCTACCAGTATACTAAATAGTAGCAGTAGACCTCCTAGTGAACAGGTTCCTCCAGGGCAGTAATGCTTACTGCGTTCCGGTTTGGAAGGGTAAGGGTGTTGGTGAAATTACAGGCACATGGGACTTGTCAAATTATGTCCCAGGGTGAGTGGTGCAGTGGCAAATCTCTTAGTGGCACTGCACATGACTTGTTCATATTGTCACTTGGTACAATAAAAAAAATCCATTATTAGACGCGATTATGGCTTGATATCTGCCAACTAAAGAAGATTTAGCTTGACAGAAAGATATAAGTAAAGGATATATCATCCCCAGTTATCATTATTGATTGACTCGTATTGTTTCAGTGTAGCAAAAGACTATGTCCGTCTATTGAAATATGGAGACTCTCTGTATCGCTGCAAGCAGCTGAAGCGTGCAGCTCTCGGCCGGATGGCTACTATCATGAAAAGGCAGGCCGCTAACTTACAGTATTTGGAACAGGCAAGTTGTCATATTAGTATGAAGAATGAAACTGTGTAATGTGTGATATGAAGTCACAGTCAAAGATTATTTATTCCATGGATAAAATAGATTTACACTTGAAAACGCTTAAGCTACTGCTCGTTCACTACACTGATCTCCCTGAGAAGAACGAGCAAGAAACTCTAGGGATTGCTCTTTTCAAATAAACATAAATGCTATGGAATACACTTTGAATCAAATTTGTGTGGATTCTGGAGCCATGTCGTCTTTCCATACATCTTTATCTAACACGTAGTCTTCAATTTTGTAATGTGATTTTTCGATCAAAATATTTTTAATGTAGTTTTTAAACTTAGGAAATGATAAACTATATGCTCCAGAATCTTATTGTAAAAACGTATACAGTTCCCCATAAAAGAGTTGTTTATTTGTTATGTTGTTTGTTTTGTTGAGAATGGTTGAAAAGAAGAAATTATAAATAATTTAACTTGATCTGTGCAGACTGCCTGACAGACAGTTACGAACATCAATAGATACAGTTGTACCTTAAGGTATAACTTTAGATGCAAATGATTTGTTTACCTGTGAAATAATGTACATCTATTGCAAAACAGCACTGCTGTGTTCCGTTTCGAGGTGTAGGGCAGCCAGTACAAAGACAGACATAGAATATTACAGAGCTTACGTCTCACGGCTTGCACTGCATGTGCAATATTAGTATGCTTTTGTAAAACGAGACACACGGTTCAAGCTTCCCATCTAACAGTGAGCAGAAATGCACATGTTGTTTTAGTTGCATTATTTATTAATTTACTAGGTAGTGTATTGTCGTCTTAGCACTTCAGAGTTTGAACTGTAGCTCATGCTAAACTCATTATGCCAATGACTTATATTCTAAACAGGTACGGTGGCATTACTTCCCTGGACAAACTCTTTCACATGGAGCTCTATTGCTACTAAAACTATATGTTAATTGGTGATATAATTAAAAATATGTTGTTGGTGGTATCAGGTGCGTCAACACTTGTCACGTCTGCCTTCCATCGACCCGTACACGCGCACCATCATCATCTGCGGGTTCCCCAACGTCGGCAAGTCCAGTTTTATCAACAAGGTTAGTTTATATTTACTTAAAATTTGGTTATTGAAACTATTTTTCCGGATTTAAATCTCGTTTATTTGTTTTTTCAAACGTACCGACGTTTCGGGCCATGTACAGGTCCCATGGTCACGGTTGACTGATTTCGGTTTGTTTGAAAAAACAAATATACGCGATTTAAATCCGGAAAAATTAGTTTCATTTCCTATGTGTAACAATCGCGAAAACCTAAGAACTCGATTATTTATTTTATTTCTTTAATACTCGACCAATTTAAAAGGTAATATCAAGTATGAGACTTGATTCGCATAATGCATCTTTTAATTGAGTCTAGTATTACTTACTTGACAGTATTTGCTTCGGACGAAGAACGAGAGGACGGGGCCTGTTCCGAATCCGAGAAACAACACTTAGAAAAATTCCTTAAATCCGGCCGGATTCGAACCAGCGCCCCCACCGTCAGCACACCCGTATCTGACACTTTCCCAAATGAGTTACGGAACAAACCAACACACCTTACGAATTTTTCTATGTACTCGTTGCAGATCTTTGCTTTTTTAAATTTTTAACGACGTTTTTGCCATAGCGCCACCTGTAACAAGTCTATGAAACTTTTTCTTCACTCAGCCGAGTATCTTCACAGCTACAGACTAGAGATTCGACGCTTCAATTCGTATCATTAACTAATTATAAAATAAATTAACTAATAAATAAAACTAATGTTAATAAATTAATTATCAATCACAAAAAGTAATTGAATATCAATTCAATAAAAATTCAAAATACAGTGAATAGTGACATCTCTCGCCAGGGCCGGTAGCTGTAAAGGTATCTAACTGGGTGATAAAACTTTCATAGATTTCTCATAGATGGCGCTACTACTAAGAAGTCGTTGAAGAACCAAATACGACAACAAGCACATAGAAAAATTCGTGAGGTCCGCTGGTTCGTTCCGTGGCTTAGTTGGTATAGCGTTTGACACGGTATGCTAGAAGACGTCGGTTCGAATCCGGCCGGATCGAAGGAATTTTTCTGAGCGTTCGATCTTTGTATTAATTATTATAACAAACTAGTGGAGTAATTTCACAAAAAAGAATTGAATATCAATTCAATAAAAATTTCAATTAATTAACAATTTTCCCAGTCTGTAGTAATTACAGTATTATTTGTATCAACGCTTGCACACTGCATTAGATCCGAATTCGAACTGGGCGGCGTGGAGGGTTGGAGGGAAGTAGAAGGAGGGAACCTAAAAGATAAAATGTCATTACAGAAGAACGAACAAGTAATGAAACAAATATCTGTATTTGGGTCCTTCGAGAAGACGAGTGCCTACTAGTGGAATGTACATTGGGTATTTATGGTAGTAATATATGTTGCAGATCACTCGGGCCGATGTGGAAGTGCAGCCATACGCGTTCACCACTAAGAGTTTGTACGTTGGCCATACAGACTACAAGTACTTGAGGTGGCAGGTAAGCTCGTTCAACAATAACAACGTCACGAAACAAGAAACAATCTTAAATGCTCTTCTTTTTTTATGATACCAAACAACAGGACGAAGTGCCTGGTGGCAAGCGACACGCCAGTCCATAGCAGTTGTGTATGTCACTCCGAGTCGATAAGTTGACAAGTTTCATGAGGCTGTAATGTCACCAGCACCCTTACCTTTTAAAACCGGAACGCAGTAAGGCCCGCATTACCGTTACTAAACTACTGTACTCCAGCACTAGAATATAGAGCTATAGCATAAACGGACTTTGATCTTTAGATGACAAATTGTACAATCGCAAAGGTTATCGACACTCCCGGGATCTTGGACCACCCCCTGGAGGAGCGCAACGTGATCGAGATGCAAGCCGTGACTGCGCTGGCGCATCTGCGCGCCGCTGTGCTCTACTTCATCGACCCTTCGGAGCAGTGCGGCCACAGCATCGAGGAGCAGGTCAGCCTGACTGTTATAATTAAGGCTTTTAGTCTTACTGTAATGCCGCATCCGAGGGAGACGAGGCTCTGTGCAGTCTCGAAAATCCCAACAACTTTCGAGACCCCTTCAGAATTAGGTTTAGGCATTTAGACAGTCCAAACATATTTTTATCGAGCCACGTTGAGGCGTCGAAGGCATTTATAATAACAAACTGGTGGAATATTTTTTTCAAAAAATAGATGAATATCAATGTGGTAAAAACATCATGAGATTCAATTTTGTTTTAATAAATTATTTTAATTCGTCGAAGAACTAAAATAATTTCAATAATCGCACAAAATAAAAGTACAAGCAAGAATAAAAATGTAAATTCGGAGTAAACTTTTCTTTTAATTACAAAACTGACATTTTATAGTAGAACTGTTTTTCTTTCTTCTACCATTTTCCTCGCTATAGTGAGGTGAAAAGTTGTGTGTTTCGTTCGGCAGCAAAGTTGTTTTGCGTCTCTTGTCTTAAAAATCCTCGCTACGCTCAGGAATCTATTTTTGAACCACTCGCTTTGCTCGTAGTTTAATCTTAGCTTCCTTCGCTTGCTCAAGTTTCAATACAAGCACTCAAACAACAACTTTGCAGCCTTGCATAACAAATAACAATTATTTTTGTGTTTGTGGAATAAAAGTTGTTATTTATGATGTTACTAACACAGTCCTGCGAGGTTAATCTTAAGTATGAAGCTTGAATTCATTCGTATGTGCATAGAATGTAAATTACACCTTTTTGTTCATATACCATCCAGCTTTGCCCGACGTGTAGTGTGAGCACACATCTTAGAACACGTAATCACTAAGTTGAAATGCGCAGAGGTGACAAAGCGTCCAGCAAATTGTTTTAGTCGCAATTGGGTTCATTTCAGCGCGTCTCGTTAACGACTTGAGGCGGTTGAATTTCTGTAGTGCGTAGTTTCCGTGCTGAAAAAGCACGTACTTCGCTGGTTCATGAACTTAAGTCCCCGGCTGACTTTGTTACCACTTATCCTAAAATTTTAAGTTTATCCTTTAAGCCATGCATGGAAAAAGCGAAAATGTATAATTAGTACAGAGTACTAAAAAAACCGACTTCGAAAGTGCTTGGAATTACATCTATTTGCCAAGTTTTACCGAAATCGGTTACCGGAAAGTGCGCGAAACCGGGTTCATCCTCTAGTTTGCCACCCTCATAGGTAAAATATTTTCGAGTTCTTAGGTTTTCGCGATTGTTACACATAGGAATGAAACTATTTTTCCGGATTTAAATCGCGTATATTTGTTTTTTCAAACAAACCGACTTGAGAACTTCCTCCTTTTTTTTGAAGTGGTTAAAAATAGGTAGTCAAAATACAATGTTACTTAAAAACAATTAGCTAACTATCGAAACGGCATGGTCAAATTCGACACCAATCCCAACCATACCGATAGCTCAATGGCATCACAGCCTGCCTTCTACGCAGATATCCCAGGTTCGATTCCGGCCCGATCGAAGCTGACCGAAGTCTATACTTTGTGTCGGTCAAAACGCGGCCAAGAGTGAGTTTGTCATTAAGGTCGCACTGTACGTCTGTACGTAACCGTGCATTACCCATGGCAAATACATTGTTTTTTTTTTCAAAAATATCGATTAAGAGCGTGTCGGGCACGCACAAGATGATTTCATAGTCAACTTAGATTTTAATTTCGCGATTTTTTTTAAACGTCTTTATTGTTTGTTCTTTTTTTACTTAAATGAACACAGTTGAGGCTATCAGCGCAAAAATGGTACATCACATTTAACTTTTTTCTACAATATTACTTTAAATGATACTTAAGATAAATTATACATTATACATTATATACTTTTTTTTATTTTTTTTTATTTAATTATGATAATTACTTTAAATGATACTTTTTTTTCCTGAGTGTTTTTTCTGAGTGTTCGATCTTTGTATTAATAATTATAACAAACTAGTGGAGTAATTTCACAAAAAATAATTGAATATCAATTCAATACAAATTTAATTGATACTTAAGAGTTGATACAACTCCAAATGGCTTTGGCTGATTCCGCATAACACTGAAAGTGCCGAATTAATCACTTTGAAAAAAAAAAAATAACGCACACACTCAACATAGCCCCGCACTAGGGAAACCCTGCGTCGCGGGTGCCATGGACACATACATAGACAAACACAAATTACACCCAAACTCACGAGAGAAATAAATGTAGGCCATAGAAATATTTCTCCCGGCCCGGGAATCGAACCTAGGACCTCTGCGTGGCAGTCCGGCATGGTAACCGTTCGGCCACGGAGGCAGTTAATAATAATAATAAAATTAAGGATATATACTGATTAGTATACGGTGTGAAAACGCGGTTCCTAAAAATTTTCGCGATAGAAACTTACCTCGAAATTTTACAAGAAAACCGCTGTATTCAATACGTACTTTACATATAACAATGATTATTTTTTATATCAACTGAAGTAAATAGAACACGTATTTACACGATATACATTTTTCAAACGGCTTTAATATCAATTAAATTTTTATTGAATTGATATTCTATTATTTTTTGTGAAATTACTCCACTAGTTTGTTATAATTATTAATACAAAGATCGAACACTCAGAAAAAATTCCTTCGATCCGGTCGGATTCGAACCGACGTCTTCTTGCATACCGTGCCAGACGCTATACCAACTAAGCCACGGAACGAACCAACGGACCTCACGAATTCTTCTGTGCTTGCGTCGTGTCTTTGTACTTGGTCTTTCAACGACTTTTTAGTCGTAGCGCCATCTTTGAGAAATCTATTACAGATTTATCTGTAATTTTTCTTTTTTATTATCTGTAATTACAGATTTATATGGCTTTAATATCGTTTATAAAAAAATACATTCTGAAATAAAGCCATTGTCTCCGCCTCTCGACCCGCGCAATAGAACAGATTCAGTGCGGGAAGAATTTTAATTAAGTACATCATTATATTATGTTTGGATGCTATTTTAGTTGATAAAAACTATTTAATTATTATTATTTTACTGCTATTTGTTTTTTATTTTATTTATTTATATTTAGACCCATAAATACAAACCTGTGTTTAATTTGTACTATATTGTGTTGTTTTAGTGAATTAAGTGTTTATCTTTCTATGTATTTTTTTTAAATATTCCAGATCTCCCTATTCGAGAGTATAAAACCTCTGTTCACGAATAAACCACTCATCGTCGTTCTGAACAAAATGGACGTGGTCAAACCCGAGGATCTGCACCCGGCGAAAAGGGCGCTCATCGAGCAGCTGGAAGAGAGCTGCGCCAAAGAAAACCTGGTCAAGTAAGTTAAAAATTAAATGGGACCACTTCTGAGGTATCCTCTTTAAAACAAAAAAAGAATCGAGTTCTTAGGTTTCGCGATTGTTACACATAGGAAATGAAACTATTAAATAAATAATAATAAATTGAACTTAATAAAAATTCATTCAATTAAATGATTTGTAAAATTTAATATAGCGTAAATTGGAATGTTTTATTTGTAAAATTAATAATAAGGTATTTAATTAATAACTATTGTAACTATAGTGAAAAAATAGGGTGGTTTGCATCAATATTAGACATAACTGGTTGAAGACTGTACCACCTCAGTCAACCGTGACCATGGGACCTGTAAAGGGCCTGAAACGTCGGTTTGTTTGAAAAAACAAATATACGCGATTTAAATCCGGAAAAATAGTTTCATTTCCTAAAAAAAGAATCGTTAAAATCGGTTTACAAACGCCGTTAACCGGAGTTGTCGCGTAACCTATTTTTTTTTGAAGTCAGTTAAAAATAAACTAGCTGTTCTTAACAGTCGTCTTCACGAAATCTCAAATTCATTTAAATGGCAATGTATCCGCTTCTATAATAAAATTCTGTTGAATATATTGCTTCGAATTGGCAGGAGCTCTTCAATAATGACGCCGGTAACTCGTTAACGGTATAATTTAATGAAGAACTTTACGCTTCGAGCAGCACGTAGCCAAAGTAGTACAGAACTGTCTTTTTAGGTTAAAGATCATTTATAACATTCGTAACTTCTTAAGTCTGGACTTCGCATTATGCGAATATTTTATACTCTCCAAACTTAATTACTGTAGCACTGCCTTTGGTGCACGTTTCTGTTTTTCAATACCACCTCGGAGTCACGTGACACCTTTTCTAAATAAGTCTGACGTGCTTGCGATGGGTGGGCGCCTTAAATTGCATCTGGCTGGATTGTTGTTTGATGTTGTTCAGTCTTACGTACCTTATTATTTGTATGAGACTCACTTGGTCATCCTCGGTAAACTCTTGCTTTGGAGCAAGGTCGACAAGGGTGTTTCTGCTTGTAACCCCCTGCCATAGTACCGCTGCATTTAGAGGGAGTTTCCGATGCTTAGCCACCCGTTGGAACAATATTTCTCCTCCTATCCGTAACACAAAAAGAACTTTGAAGCAGAAGCTGCAAGAGTATCTTTTGAATGTGCAGAAATTGGAAATATGAGTGGCCAAGGTGTTTAAGAAAAAATAAATAAATAAAAAATAATAAAGAAATTGGACGAAATAACATTAGATTGAATTGAATTAAATTGAATGGAATTGGTTAGAATTTGAATTTAATTAAATTGGTTTTGTTTTGGGTTATTACGAGTGGCGTCCCAGTCCTATAGGGTACTGGCAGGCAATACCAGTGTCGCGGGCAGTCGCGTCATTTGTGCTGAGTCAACGCCTTTTCATTGCCATGTCTTCCAAGAGAGATATTAGTGGAATATATTACAGTTTTACGCCTAAGTTAATGTCTGTATCATGTGTCTGTGTATGTATTTGTCATGGTGGTGAATAAAGATTCTATCCAACTTAATGACTTATTACAAATGATGTTCTGAAAATTTGAATATAAAAATGTATTTGAAAAATCCCCTGGTGCTAGCACTTGTATTTGAATACGTCCTTTTAAAGACCTTTCCAATGAATTTTGAATGAACTTTGAATGAAATGAGTTTGATGCACCCCCGTGTCTCTCGGTGCCCCCGCGGCAGTCAGTTCGTTTCATCGGCGCGAACAGATTCCGATTGATATTCAAAATTTGCCATTTACGAGGTTTAATAATAATAATAGTTTATTTTCTTTAACAGTTAACATTTGTCAATACTAGTAGTAGAAGTCTTCTTTTAGTCATTGCAATGCCTGTGACAGGATACGCCGCTCTACCACAACCATAGCTTTAAAATATATAAACTTAATCGTAGTTGTATATAAACCATTTAAACATTTTCCTTAAATTTAGGTTCTTAAATAAGTGAAATAAAGTTTTGAGTTTAATATTCGCATTATTCTACTAAACCACTTATACCAAGTCATTTATATAGGTTTAAAACATAGTGAAACAAAAACTTTACCCTAAAGGTTGGTAATACAGCTTCTGCGTGACTGGATGACAAAAATCTAATCGAATTTTCCTATGGAAATAGAGGTGTATTTGCTTTTGAATTTGTTCAGCGCGGACTCGAACTCTGAGCTGACGACGGTGCCAGTGCTGCGCACGTCCACCATCACCGGTGAGGGCGTGCAGGAGGTGAAGATCGAGGCCTGCGAGAGGTTGCTGGGCCATCGCGTCACGGAGAAGATGAGGACTAAGAAGGTACTGCGACGACTCTCCACTCCTTTACTACAATTCTACGTAAATGTCATTTCGAAGTCGTCTCATACATAAACAATAGGATTCTATTTTCTTTTTAAAAGTTTATCTTTGAAATAAATAAATTAATAAAAATAAGTAAAATGAGTAAACTGAACATACTGCCTTTGCCATGCGTGTATTTTAGGGACATCTGTGTATTTGTGAACACTCATCCTCTGTAGCTGTAAGGTACCCAACTTGGTGACGAAATAATTTCATACATTTCTCATAGATGGCGCTACAGAATAAAAAGTCGTTGGAAACCAAATGACAAAGATCCGACAACAAGCACATAGGAAAATGCGTGAGGTTCGCTGGTTCCTTCCGTGGCTTAGTTGGCATAGCATCTGGCACGGCTTGCTAGGTGATGTCGATTCGAATGCAGCCAGATCTAATTTTTTTTTCTGAGTGTTCGATCTTTGTATTAATAATTATAACAAACTAGTGGAGTAATTTCACAAAAAAATCATTGAAGAGGTGGTTAAACACTGGGACATTCAATAAAAAATTAATTACAGTTAATAGCGACATCTCTAGTCAGGGCTGGTAGCTCTAAAGTTACCTAACTGGGTGACGAAATACTAATAAAAATAATAAATAATAATAAAAATAATAAATAATAATAATATTAATAAAAATGTTTAATAATTACAAAAATAATAATTTATCGAGTTCTTAGGTTTTCGCGATTGTTACACATAGAAAATGAAACAAAGGTTTGTTTGAAAAAACAAATATACGCGATTTAAATCCGGAAAAATAATAATTTAATTAATTTTAAGATAAAAATATTGTGTAATAATTATGTTTATTAATAATTATAGAATCTATAATATAATTATTATCTAAACTAATTAACTACGTTCAAGCTTGCAATGTATTTAAATTCCATTCTAACTTTGCTACACCCTTACAGGGCATGACATGTATAAGTTTATCATCCATGTGAAATGCAAATAAATGAATATGACTTTCATAGATTTCTCATATATGGCGCTACGGCTAAAAAGACGTTGAAAACCAAATACAAAGATCCGACAACAAGCACATAGATGAGCTGGTTCGTTCCGTGGCTTAGTTGGCATAGCATTTGGTACGGTTTGCTAGGACACGTCGTTGGTTCGAATCGGGCCGGATCGAAAGAATTTTTTCTAAGTGTTTTTGATCTTTGTGTTAGTAATTATATCTCATCCTTTATATTTTAAATCACGTGGTAAAGTGATACAAAGGCAAACCAGAGCTAAAACCATGAATGTTTTATAAGGGCCTTCAATAGTTTACCAGATGACTTGAAATTACTACACGGACCTGCGTTTAAATCACAATTGATGAAATGGCTTATGACACATTGCTTCTATAGTAATAAAGAATATTTAGAATTTACGAATACTAATTTGAAATAATTTTATCTAAGATCTGTGTAATTACTGTATTCAGGCAAATAAACGTTTTCTACCCTATTCGAAGTAAGCTGTAGATTTTTTAAATGATTTTGAGTTCTAAATATGATGAAACAGAAGGCTTCGACCGTATTTCGACTTGCGGTTTTATTAATAGTACAACAAACGACAGGAGGAAAAAGAATAATTTTGTCGGGCCGTACGGCCCCGTGCTCGCAGGTGGACGGCGTCCTGAACCGCCTGCACGTGGCCCTGCCCGCGCCGCGCGACTCCAAGCCGCGCCCCGCCGTCATCCCGCCGCAGGTAGCGCTTCGGCTCCTGTTCCGGCACGAGCATCCCTTCACACCCCTTTGACTTTCAGGGTCGTATTCTAGAACTCTACTCAATGCTCAAGTCAGGATTTGAGTATGGTTTAAAGCACTCGAAATCATACTCAAGTCCCTGCCATTAGGGTCGTATTTCCAGTGCAATCCTGACTTGAGCATTGAGTACAGTTCGAGAATACGACCCTCAAAGTCGTGTCGAAGTTACCACACCCCATTGAAGAACATCGACGTTCAAACTGCCTCCGTGGCCGAACGGTTACCATGCCGGACTGCCACGCAGAGGTCCCAGATTCGATTCCCGGGCCGGGAGAAATATTTGTATGGCCTACATTTATTTCTCTCGTGAGTTTGGGTGTAATTTGTGGTTGTCTATGTGTGTGTCCATGGCACCCGCGACACAGGGTTTCCCTAGTGCGGGGCTATGTTGATTGTGAGCGTTATTATTATTAAAAAAAAAGAGAAACCATTTATGTGACACCCACACAGAATTAGAAAGTTCTCTGTACATTAATTAGTTCTAACGGGAATGGATCCCGAACTCTCCCATCGTGTCAACAGGTGGATCACGGTCTGTTAAAGTATTACCAACTACCGCGATCCTGTCACGGCTAAAACGTAATTTGAGACGAAATATTTGTGACTTAGCGGTTTAGTTCTTCCTGGAACACCGAACCCAACATTGGCCCAAGTGAGAATCTACTTTTTTATTTGTTTATAAGCCCATTTTGCAAACCCAACAGTGGGTCAAAATGGGTTTTTAAGAAATGTAAGAAAGTGAGCTCTCGTTCTTAGGCAACGTCTAGCCAGTCGTTTAAAAAGGATCCCAAGTCATCCCCTACTTATTTCTTGTATTAATTTCTGTTGGCCGCAGGTTGCCCTGAAGAAGCAGCAGGCGGCGGACAAGGCCTCACGCAAACGGAAGCTTGAAAGGGAGATTGAGTTAGAAGAAGGAGATGACTATGTACTAGGTGAGATTATTTTCTTTTCTCTAGTTTTCAATTCTTTGCCTTAAAATTCAATTACCTGTTAAGATAATGTGAGTTTCAGTTATTAAACTGAAATTTCTACATGGACTATAAACTGCTGTTTAGACAATAAACATAGCTAACACTTGTTAAAATTAATATGAATTGCAGACTTGAAGAAGAACTACACGGAGATCTCGGAGGAAGAACGCCAAGACCCGATTCCTGAATTCTGGGAGGGACACAACATCGCCGATTACATCGATCCGGATATCTTTGATGTAAGTATTTTTAATGAAGTTTCTTGTAAGAAAACATGATGGAAATGGAGGAAGACAAGAATTTATTTTTATTTCAAACTGCGATATTTATTAAATGATTAACACTAATATCAGGTATCTTACCACGGTATGATTGATCCACGTCATGCTCCCCCAGCATCGTCGACCAATCCGCTTCAGCGAAACCCAGATATAGCGCATTTAAGTCTGCTTTATACAAGTTAACGTCAGGAGCAGTTTTTTTACAGTTATTGCCTAACCGGTGCTACCGCATTTACCAACTGACTGTACACGCGTTTGATATGGTTAATTGATAACACCGAATTGAACAGAAACTGGCAGAACTGGAGAAGGAAGAGGAGCTTCGCGAGGCAGGCGGCATGTACGCCGTGCCCAAGATTGAGCTGGACGAGACCATGAAGGAGATCAGGCAGCTCGCACAGCAGATACGGTCGGTTATGATAGCAGTAGTGTTATCTATCAATTACAAAATCGAGCTTGAAAGCAATCCATTGAAATATATTTTTTTTTTTAAATCACTACAATGGTAAAAAAAAAGATAAGCGTAGGAATAAATTAACAAAAATCAGTTTTATTTGTGCCTAACCTAACCTAACCTAACCCATAGTTCCCCAAACTGGTAAGTGGACGCTGAAGTCCTAGGGGGCGGTAGTAGTCACGGAAGCAATGAGGCGGTAGTGGTCACGGAAGCAAGGGCGGTGATGCTGTCCAGGGGGTACTGCCGCATTTAAAAAGAAACCTGTTTTTCCTTTTGATTTTTTGTAAAAATACGTGTTTCCAATTATTTTTTGTAGTGGTTTACGTTGAAATTTTTTTATCTTGCCTAATTGGGGTTACCAAAAAGTTTAGGAACCTGTGCTTCTGAACGACTGGATTCGAACCAGTTTCTGTTGCTTCAACGTGGCTGCACCTGATGCATGTTGTTTTTGATTGTGTACAGCAATAAGAAGGCAATCCTCAAGGACGAGTCCCGACTGGTGAAGCAGTCGACGAAGCCGGTGATGCCGCGTACCAGCCGTGCCAAGGAGCGCACCAGGTCCACGGGGAAGCTCCGACAAGAGATGGAGAAACTCGGTACGTTCTTATTCCTTACTCGTTCTACCAACAACGCACAAGTTTGTTCTGAAATCATTTGTGGTATAATCTGTTTCAATCCGTTTTAAACAAAAGTGTTTTGTTAAAATTCTAAAGCAGTCACTCAATAAACATTTCGAAGATTTCGTTCTCGTCACTTTCGAACAATATTCATTTGAATAGCATCATAAAATCGTATTTGAAAAATGGTTATTTTTCATCTATACTCCTATGACTTGTCTATGGTTGCATAATACTGTACGAAAAAAACATTTGGTTCATTCAATTACAATTTTTATAATCGATTAATACATCGAATATTTCAATCTCAATCGAACGAGTATCTAAGTGTAAGGATTTGAAGGAGGATTTAAAATTAAGCTTTCGGAAATTTTAAATATGCTTTTATAGGTTATGTATAGAAGACCGCTACTATGACCTAATTAAACAAATCGATTCATTTAATTAATTAATCTATTTGTAGTTGGCATTACAGTTCGCCACCACTAAATTGTCTATGGTTAGGTCAGTGACTTGTTTGTATACTTTTTGTTTAAAATGGATTGAAACGAAGTTTAAATAAATGCCTTTTCATCAATATTGATGTTTTGTGTTTCCGGGTGAGTGTAGTCGTCGAAACAATTATATCCACGGAAATTTTCAACAAATTATCTGCCAGTGTTACTATTTAAACCATTGTTTTTATAAATTGAGCTGGATTTAGTATGAAACATACAAAAGTAATGAAATTAAATATTAAAAAAAAAAAATAATATTTATTTAATCATTTGTAATTTTGTTTTAATAACAAAAGTAATATTTGCTTAGCTTCATATTTTGTTTTGTGAACTCGTAAAACCATCAAAAGTCAAACGGCCCGATCGAAGCTGAACAAAGGTGAAATGTTTTGTATCAGTCAAAACGTGGCCAAGAGCGAGTTTGTCATTAGGTCGTACGGTACGTCTGTGCGAATCGTGCATTACCCATGGCAAAAACATTCTTATACATAATATTAAACGGGATTTTAATGATGGTTGATCAATATGTCGAACCATGATTGCCGATTTATCGTAAGCGACATTTTTACCGAAATAGCGTTTTTATTGCAAATGATATTTTAAATTATAACGGAGAAGGACGCTTCGACATTTCCTGCCAAAATGACGTCAAATAGAAATTATAGCAACGGCTAAGTCTGTCGTTAGCTCAATTGTTTTTCATATTTTAGTGTAACCGATAGAATCGATATTAAAAAATTATAACGTAAGCGACCCCATTTGGTATCGCAATCGAGATAGTACCCCACTATATCGTCGTTCACAAAGCAAAACACGTGTTTCAATTTGTTGTACATTTTTAATTACGTTTCGTTATTTACGTTTGTTTAATTGCGTTTCGTAATTGAACTTACTCTTAGAAAAAGCATCGCACGCAATCGTCACATATTAGTTGCAGTCTCGCACTAAACAAGGTGTAATTTTTGAACCGCCCAGGCGTGGACATGTCCGGGTCGCAGGCCGCCAACTTCACGAAGACGCGGTCGCGCTCGCGCTCGGCGTCGGCGCCGGCCGCCAAGCGCATGCGCGCGGCCTCGCGCACGCGCACGCCGGCCCGCGACGCGCAGGGCGTCAAGGACGTGGCGGTGAGTCGGCTCTCGTCGGACGGTGTCGGGGTCTAACTCTCGATTTTTTCTAGATTTCATCAGATCTGAGCTAGGAGCTGTGGTGCTCGAGATTAAGAAATGGTGCCGCCGGAATAAGCTTATTCCAGCGTGAACAGTAAAACGCCGTAATAACTTTAAAACGGGCTAGCGACTAAATGTAGTTTTTTACGACTAAAACAGACTAAATCACGACTTTTATTTAGTGTAATCAGATCTAAGCTGAGAACTGGTTCTCGAGATTGAGAAATGGTGCCGCTGGAATAAGCTTATTCCAGTGTGAACAATAAAACACCCTTATAACTTTTGAACGACGGACCGACTAAATCTAGTTTTTTTGCGTTTATCTGGCCAGTAAACATTCAAAAACTCGACCATAGTCACGCTGGAATAAGATTCAGTTTTCGTAATAAATATCGTAAATGATAAATGTTTACAAAGAGCAGCACTTAGAGTTTCTTGCTCATTCTTCTTAAAGGAATCCGCCTTACAAATACGCGGTAGAGTTTAGTCAGTACGACAATTTCAAGTGTAATTTGCTTACCAATGAAATAAACATTATTAAACTCTGACTATAGCTTGTGTCAAACTCGTTCGACCAACAAATTGTATTCAATATTCACATATTACTGCAGCCGAGTGATGGTCGAACGTCTCAATCAATTGTGACAAAAATGTCAGAGATACGGCAGTGTGGTTAAATTACTGTTGAGAAGATTTATATTTGCCTTATTACAAGCAATGATAAATTTTATAGATTGAGAACTAATGTAAATTACAACCATGAAGCAGTACACCATGTGAACTAATTACTAATATACAGCTCATTTTTTAAATTAAATATCACGATGAAGTGTCACTTTTTTATGTAATATCAAGTGACCGAACGAACAAGTCGTGCGCCTAATAGATAGATAGATAGATAGATAAAACGTTTATTTGTTACTACATCCACACGTACATAACAGCAAAAAAAAACAATAAAAAACACAAACAAAACAAAAAATAAACAAAAACAGCAGAGTCGCAGCACTGCTAGACACCCAGTTATGTACGTGTGCTGCAGCAGTGCAAAAAGGTCATAGCTCAGCGTCGGTGTTTACTCAAGAGCAAACCGCTGATTTTCAGCCATAACCTAGAGGTAATCGCAGATACGATAATCAGCTCGCTGATGTCATTTTTCCATTTAGTTATATTTAAACATATAATAATAATTAGAATAGAAACCAAATAAATAGGAAGATAATATAAGTATAATGTTTAAAAAAGAAATTAAAAATATTAGTGATTTAATTCAAATTATATATTGTAAGAGTACAATATATAATTTGAATTAAAACTAAATGTAAGCTACACGCCTGTCCATAACAGTTGTAGTGCCACTCAGCTCTTTATGACGCAAAGATCTAAGGCGCACTGCCCTTACATCCGTTACCCTGAGACATAAATCTATTCCCATGTGCCTGTAATTTCACCAGCACTCTTACCCTTCACACCGGAACACAGTAACGCTGACATTACTACTTGGCGGCAATAAGGTGGCAGCATTTCCCTGAACGCTCTCTTTCACAAGGGACTCTAGTGCTACTATTACATCATCACGGGTACATTTTAGGTCCAATAAAAAACATAAGCATTTCTAAATCTCTCAAAATGTCGCCCGACCTAAATGCTGTGACATTTCATTACAACAATATATAACATTATGTAATACACCCAATATGTAATATTAATATCATATTATGTGACTTCCCTCAGATGCGGAAGAAAGCAAAGAATTTGGCGCACGTGGCGATCGCGAAGAAGACAAAGAAGATGGGCCTCAAGGGAGAGGCCGACAGGTTCATCGGCACCAAAATGCCGAAGCATCTATTCGCCGGCAAGCGCGGCGTCGGCAAGACGGACAGGAGATAACCTATCTGTTCCTACAAAAGTTGGACTTACATCTATTGTTATTTATCATTATTTTTATGTTTGATCCCTTGTCGTTCTATCGGACAATCCTTGTGACGCGATGCGAATTAATTAATTCATTTGTATTTGGCGCCATCAATAAGTGTCTATGGTCGGGTCAATGACCTCTTTGTTTACCTTTCATCGATAATGGATTAAAACGGACTATAGAAATAAATCCGTACAGTTCTGTACTTGCAAATATCCAGAAAAAACTTTTATGAATGGACACATTAAACAACGTACCTCGCATACGTTACAGAACATCTACATAAGAACGTGTATCTATAAATTCATTAAACATTCATGGACTATAGATTTACGATCAACGTAAAAGAAAAGAGACCATAATATACTCGTATATTTTATTTAAATAAAGAAGTTGTATAAAAAATAGAAAAAATTCTTTCATTTCTCATACACATATATGTAACTACACAGCATTTGACAAATTAGGTCTTGTAGACGTTTCGTAACGTTGTAAATTAATGTCACCGGAAGAATTCCGTGATCAGCAGTGGAACGCATATTTCGTCAATCTCAATACACATTATTGCAAGTGGAACACGCGAGTCGCTTTTATAAACGACAACCGGTTCGATTCCTCGTCCCTTTATCTAGCCACGCAAGCCGCAGTTCTACGATCGCTCGATCGCCGGCGACTCCGAAATCTTAACGGGAGGCGCACGCGCATTTTACTCGTACGTGGTCTCCGAGAAGTACTTTTTTTTTGTAATCATCTTAATAATTTAAATCTTAGGAAATTAACCAATTTTTAAGGATTTAAATCGCGTACCTATATTTGTTTTTTCAAACAATCTTTTGTATGTTTGTAGAGACGATACGCGATTTAAATTAGTGATTTTAAACCCACTTGTATGGGTCCGAGGGTCCCGGTCATTGTACCATCGCCTGCATCGGCTGGCCTGGCTGAGAAATCCTACTGGAACTACTGCCACACCGTACCCCGGACTTCTATTCGGCGGACAGCCGTCAACCTGATCCCAGCAGTACCACACCGCACCGCAGTACTACATACATTCAGCGGACGGTTCCGGTCCAGTCCCAGTTCATCTAAACCAGGTCATCACTTCGGCGGATCGGCCAGGGGAGTACCAGCTGCTGGTCGTGGGAAGGTAAAAGTGCAGTATATAACCGTTAGTTAGGCTTTAACGAAACGCGACTAAATAAAATTGTTTGCGTTAGTACTTCTTTTAAAGCCCTGTCTCACCGGGACGCCATGGCGACGGCGTCAGCTGTGCAGCACACTCTTGGCTGCCGATTGGCGGCGAAGTTTATTTATTTATTTAAAGAAACATACAGCTTACATATTACATAAATGTTTTGTTTACCTATTAAATTTAGCCAAATTTTGTTTCCAATGATAGATAATTCACAAAGTGAAGGCCGAAAGCACTTAATCTACTACACAATGACAAAATTCTGTAAACAATGGTCTAACCAAATGATAAAGCTCTAAACAAGTTTTAAAAAATTGAGACAATTATTGCAGAAAAGAAATAATTACTTAATTTATTAACTAAAATCTACTTTTTTAACATTTGACAAAAACAATTTAGTTTACAGGTAAATATATCGATGTGGTGGTAACGATCATTATAAGATTTACATGCTCTGATTAGAAACCTATTCCCAGCGTAGTTAGTACTGCAAATAGGTACGAAAAACAATGTTGTGTTGGAGCGAGCATTAACCCTAGGACATTTGAATGAAATACGACTCATTAAGAAAGGAGAATCAACGATGCCATTTATAATCTTAAACAGAAACATTTGATCTCTGTGTTCGCGTCTTAATTCTAACGACTGAAACTGGGGCATAGCGCCCTTAAACCTATATCTTAGTCTTCTTAAAAACTTATTCTGAATACTTTCTACCTGGTCTATATGCTTGGCATAATGAGGGTTCCATGCTGTCGAACCATATTCTAAATGACTTCGGACCAGGGAGTTATACAATATAATATATGTATTGACATTCTTGAAGTCTTTGCACTGTCGAAAAACAAAACCCAGCATTTTATAAGCCTTGGCTGCAGCCCGATCAATATGCGAAGCAAACTTCAGTTCACTATCGAGGCATACGCCCAGGTCTCTCACCTCGGTCACTCTGTCTATTGTAGTAAGTGTGGTAGTTCGTGAGTTCACATTTTAAATTGGCGAAAATATGGCTTTCGATACAGAAAGATTCATCGTGGAGATAGAAAACCGGTCGTGCGGACATTCTCACGTAATTGAAAAATTTTTTAGGAAAATTTCTTAAATCATAATATAGTTTGAAAAAAACACCACTCCGGCTTCGATCTGATATGAAAAGATGTACCCATAATTTATTTTTTTGTCATTTCTAATATTGTTGCGACGTACATAATAAATAAGAGCGATTTCTTCCACGTCCATTCCTGACGAAGCAAACGAATGACTGAATAAGGACTCGACATACGTGGCTTGGGTACTCTGTTTGGCGATCGTCGTCGGTTGCTAGAGGTAGCCAAGTATTCACTGCTGGCGACGTTGCCATGGCGTCCCGGTGAGGGAGGGCTCTTATTTGAACTCCCCGTAACAAGCGTCACTTGACACCGACTCATTATGATAAGTCTTTGAATTGCTAAGCATTGAGGAAGGAAGCACGGACGGCCACTGTCGATAGAAACGTCTGATCAGGCGGTTGAGCCTGAACGGATGGGTGTGTAATCTAAAATACAAATATTTTTATTATTAATATTAATTATTGATTTAAAGACAAATTAGGCGCACCCCAAGCAGATACTGCAATATGCGTCTCCTAATTAAAAGTGGCGCCTTAGCATCCACCTAAAGATTACAAAGTCGTTTGTTACGCCCTGACATTAGTTGTATATGTGATAGTGTGTTTTTCGATTATTGTAAAAGATTTCTCGTCGTTACTCACTCGACGATTAAGTTAATTGTTAACGACAAACACTCGATTCGTCGTTTCGATCAGTCTGAATCGACGGAGCGTGAAGACGTATCATCGTGTGGATGAGGGGCTTCAGGAACGATATTTTGTGGCATGTGTCGTTAGAACTACGTAGAAATTTGTCTCCACTCTTCTTTGTTTTAAATGTTATAAGGAATAATATAGACAGTTTGTACCTCGTGGAAATGTTCCTTAAATTCAAAGTACCAAATGACTACTGCATCAAGCGGCGTGTTGTGCCCTTGTTAGCAACTGTGCCTTCACGCACTGAACAGTACGACACTCGCCCCTTCCCCGTGCAACTACATTCCTTAACTCCGTACTCGCAGCATCACCGCAGTGTGATCTGTTTGTGACTGGGATAGCGAGACTGATGACTGAATGGAAGAGAGTGTTAGAGAGAAAACAGGGTGGATTTTAGTGATATTGATAATTTAAGTTTTGATTAGTAACGATATATATATTTTTTAAATTTTTATTTCTAATTCTGGTTGATTTTGTTTTTATTTTGTTGTTTCTAAATTGATGTAACGCCATGGTAAATACCGTTATGTTACTTTTTTGATATTGAATAAATAAATAAATGTACTATGTACTTGTCTTTGTTGTAATTATGTTTGGAGAACATCTAATTTCAATTTAGCTACGACTTGAGGAAATTTATCTTCAGGATTATGATTCAAATGAATCGTTCAAGTTACAATACTTATAGCAATATAAAAGTTATTCCGTAGAGTCAAACAAAATGTATTCCATTTAACCTTTAACCCACAGGTTCTCAAAGTTATTGGCTCCCCGCCCACTTAGGCAAGATAAAAAAGTGCAACGCCCACCAACACAAAAAAATAATCAAATGCGGTAGCACCCCCTGGATCAACCCCCAAACTGCTTCCGAGGCCAGGCGGGGACCACTTTGGGAAACTATGCTCTAACCCAGCACGCGTCATAGAGACACACGGCATCCCCAACTGCTTTGGTAATATTTTTATTTTTATTTTTAGAAATGATGGATGAGAACATATCTGGTCGTTAGAGATATGCTGTGACACTAGAACGCTACAGTACCAAAATCGTTAGGAACACCGTGTGTCTGTAAGGTGTTGTCAAGTTAAGGGTCATGAAGGCGTAGGGTAACGTAGAACCACAACGCGTGTCTACGATAAAAAATAAAACACGAAATTAGCAAAATGAATGGCACATTTATATTTAATTAATATTATTCATTTTTATAATTACACTTTTGTTGTTTATATTTTATATGTATTTTTGAACCGACGACAAAAATATCAAACGCTCTAGGCCACCCGGTGTTGCCATGTGAAAAGTCAAAAACTAACAAAAAAAGCCTCATTTTGTACATTAATTCTGTTGATTGCCCAACTACGGCAGAGCCAAAAGGAGGGTATTGTTTTAACAAAAATAGTCTCCAGTGCCCGACCATTCATAAAAATGAGCATTTCTCAAATAATAAATTATTGTAAAGTACCAATTTAAAAAAAAACTGACATTAAAAATACGTAGTAATTACGTACATACAACATAATTATAATTATACAATAATAATAAACTTAAAATTTACGCTAAAATGGAAGAGGTCGTCTAAACTAACAGAATAAAGATGGCTTAAGCTAAAATTAGGCTTGTAGTTTAAAAAAAATCACCTCTTGTAACTTTTACGAAACTAAACAAAATTTCATTTTAAAGACTGCAAACTTTTAAATTCTATATTAAAAAAAATTACCAGGCCTGTTCAAGTTAATCACAGAATTCGCTGTGCCTACTACAAAAACGGAATACAAATCGGCCACACTCGTACCTCAGATAAAAAAAATTAGTTCCTAAATTGATTCCATCGGGAATCAAAGCCGGGACCTCTCACGTAATGGTCGGAGCGCTTACTTATTACTTTGTATGTTACGCTTTAACGTGAGTAATTTTTTTCTTCAATTAATAATAAAAGTTACAAAGGTTTTAAAATTCAAATTTGGTGGCAAATCAAATACTTTCCGTTTGTCAGTAATATTTTCCCCCCTAAAAAACTTTTTTTGGGGACCGGTGCCCAGTAGTGGAACGTCTATGGCATGAAACAATACAGTTTATTGCATTTTTAGTAATTTTCATGTACTTACTATGTATACATCCATTACTCACGCGTCAAATTATCGTTACAAAAAAAACAATACACTGACAAGCGAAAAAGTCGATAAAAACATACAGGGTGAATAATTAAATCTTAAATCCTATATAATACATTTTGAACGCAACTAAATTTAAGTTCCTATGCTTAGAAACAACTGACAATATTGTACTTTTCTCATAATCGCCGATTACTGTTACAGTACACATTGTAATTGTTTCGTGAAACTACCCCGCAACTAAAAAATGATAATACAAGGTGAAAATTAATTAATGTCAGTTGTTGCGTAAGAAATCAGAATTATCATTTGCGTTCGCTCACTAAGCAGTTTGATTAGAAAATAAATGAAATACAAACAATATAATTTTTGTTACGACTTGATCATCTTTTGAGATATTTAATTTTCACCCCGCATTATACATACTATACATATGATAAATTCCACTGTCATGTATGTAGATGTCAATTGATTTATTAATTATTCGATAAATTTACAATACATTAAATTTTCAGCCAATTGTCGTCAATATTAAACCAAAAAATTGAGCTTAATCTTCTTTTTTCTATTTACAAAATATTATGCGCCAAAAATGTCACTTGAAAATCGATAGCAGAACAATCTAAATCTCGTTAAAATTTTAACTATTTAATGTTATTACTAATTCGAGATATTTTCTGAAAGCCCGAAATATTTAAAAAAATATTATATTTCAGTTAATATCTCAAAAAAAATCATAAAATTGATTTTTAAATGGCAACACTGATTCTATTTCGAAAAAAGAACTAATATTCTAGATAACAAATCACGGTCAAATTAACAGTGTAAACAATAATAATTCAGAATTTAAGACTTAACATTTAATTAAATGATTAATTAAATAAAACGTATCGTTAAACTATTGGGGCCCCTGCAAATTTTACTCATTTTAGATTCTGAATTATTATTTGTGAATATTAAAATAAAAATGTCCTGATTCATAAAGTCGAATAGCTACCCGAAATAAAATCTAAAAAAAATAAAAGAAAATATATATAAAGATAATACTACGTACGCGTAGATCGCCTGGACCTTATTTAAAAAAAAAACAATATCTTAAAACGTTTCAATGATTCACTGGAGTTTCGGTATAAAAAGAAAAAACATCCATAAGTACTTTCTTAAGTCAGCAGCCATATTTCATATTACCTTCGAACATCGCGCGTTTTTTTTTGTAAATTCAAAATTCATTTAAAAGGTCTTCTATCTCATAGAAAATGCTATTCCTTCTTTGCCCGAAAGGTAAGGCTTGCATTTGTAATGTTTCAAATTTGTTTAATAAAAATTTCCGTGATTTATGAATTTACAAAAATAAACTGAATTCACAAAAAAACAAGTCACTTAATTGCACCTCTACTACATTTATCGTTCGAAAAAATCACATTACACATGATTTTATTCAAAAACAAGGAGCCCATTCGATTTATTGTCAAAGCTTCGAGCAAAAAAAAGAAATATTGACAGGACGGGTAAAGCGGTGATGGCGCGAAAAGTAAAAAAATGGACTCCCTAAATAACCTTAAATTACGCTTATGGCAGCAAAAAATTATATTTAAAGATTGTAATTAAAAATATCTCCTCATTTTTACTTAATCAACGCTATACCTATACATAAAATGTAAATCTAAGCTAATATTTTACAAAAATTCTGGATATTTTTCCATGTCTTTGGGGTAAGACGTTGATGTCAATTGTTTTTTTTTCTGTAACGGTGTTTCCTCTTGCATAATTATTATAGAAAACTATTTCTATATATCTAACAATATACACTCTTATATGTACTATGAAAGTCCGATATTTTTACTACGCACTGCTCCTTTACACTTTGGTTTTATTTTTACAGTTTTCTTTTTAAATTTTATGCGAATACCTCTAGTCATTTCTCGGATTTTATTAAAAAAAAATCGCAACATGGAAAAGAAAATACTTTTGAAAATGCTCTTTTGACTATATATATTTTTTCTAAAGAGTATGCCTCTAAAAAAATAGTTAAAAACCAAAAGAAAAATAACTAGAAATGTCGCGCATTAGTTCCAATTGTAAACAGTTAGTTTAATCATTGGCCTTAGCACTGGTTAGATTTAGTGCCATTATTGTAATTAGCTGTATGTCTTGTATTATTTTTTCAAGTACCTACAAATAATAAAACAATAATATAAAATACGAAAATCGTAAGTTTTATTGCGTTTTATCGACCAGTCCAGGGTCCGCTATTGCAAAAAAAAAATAATTAAAACACACAGCTAGCTACGTTTTCACTCAAAGAAGGTATACCTGAGAACGTATAGCACAATTTGTCTAGATTATTTCATCATTTGTAAAACCTCACCTTCTTGATCTTCTACGGTTTATTTTAAACTGGTTTGTATAACCAGTCAAGACTACAACGCAGACGAAAAAAAACAAGTCCGATTATCGCTCGCTAACTGCTGGAACGCAGTCCACAAGTCCTGCGAAGCAAATGCCTTATAAGGTACGGACGAGATTCTTTCGACTTTTGGGCCTTGGGGTTAGCCCCTTTTACAGCAGTTCGATATACCAGAAACACAGCATATACCGAATTTACCGTTCGTAGAAGTTACCAGCGATTGGCAGTGAGAAAGGTATGCTATGGCAGCGCGTAGTGACGGACGGGGAGTCGCTATTGAGGCGGAGGCCCTCCGGGGGGCAAGCCACCCATGCCCTGAAAGAACAAATCATTTAGTATTTATTATTATTAATACAAAAACCGAGTAAACGCAAAGAAAATTTCCTTTGATCCTATTGAACTCGAACCAGTGTCTATTGCCCATCGAGTATATAACCAGAAATAGTGACGAAATAAAGGCCACCCATCATGGCAACTCATCAGGTAAATGAGCCTTATATCACTTTTAAATATCAACTCCCGTTTGCGCTGAAATCACAAATTAGAAAGCAGAAATAGTACAACGCCAAAAACTGACTTGTGTGTGTTGTGACGAAGACGTATCTCCGTATATTCCAAAAATATTCTGTATTTATTTTAATAAAGATAATAATCTCTAACAATGCGGGGCTGTTCCATTTGATGGTGTGGGGAAAACAGCAAAACAACTAATTACAAAACAGACATAAATTGACGACACTCGTCAATTGTTTGAATTCGGGCTGGCCAATCGGAGCGCAGTTGTCACCGTAATGATTTGGCAGAATAGTTTTCAAACAAATTAAATGACATTTTGTCTCTATTTCTGGTTATATACTCGATGCTGTTGCCCCACCGTGGCTGCCATTTTCTACCAGTTGCGCTACAGATTGAGATAGAAAATCTTACGAATTTCCCTATGGCCGAACGGTTACCGTGCTGGTCCGCCACGCAGACGTCTAGGGTTCGATTCCCAAGCCGATATTTGTATGGCATACATTTATTTCTCTTGTGACTTCGGGTGGAATTTGTGGTGTTCTATGTGTATGTCCATGGCACCCGCGACACAGGATTTCCCTAGTACGGGGCTATGAGTGTTTTGTGTGGGGTGACTACATAATGCTCAGTTATATTTTACAAGCTTTTATTTGTGCATTTCCATTTGTTACAATAATAATGACGCACACACTCAACATAGCCCCGCACAAGGGAAGCCCTGAGTCGCGGGTGCCATGGACATACACATAGACACACAAATTACACCCAAACTCACGAGAGAAATAAATGCAAACCATACAAATATTTCTCGCGGCCGGGAATCGAACCTGGGACCTCTACGTGGCAGCCCGGCATGGTAACCGTTCAGCCACGGAGGCAGTTAATAATAGTATTACTATGCCTACTTTTATTAGTTTTTCTAATAATAAAAATAAAACTTTATTTTGTCAAGTCCTAGCGTGCGTGGATGTGGGCGCCTGATTGCCTTGGTCTTTAACGAAGAAGTTACTTTATGCACTAGAGCATAAAATCCTATATTACCCAGCACAAATATGAACTTTATGACCATGAGAAGTGGAAAAGAAATTTGAAGACGCCGTCTGGAATCTCAACTGTGAGTTCCACATGGTAAGCAGTGGAATGTTAAAATTTAATTACCGGCATGGGCTGGTAGTGCTGGAGCGGCGCGGCCAGCAGCTTGGGCGCCTCCTCCGCCTTCTCCTCCTCGCGCCGTTTCAGGCACGCGGCTTTGGGGTTCAGGTTGCGCTCTGTCAAAAATTTTCAGCATGTTATAACGCGTTGAGGTGGTGAAAGTTATCTTTTATCTGCACACATATCACAAACCCTCTATGATGAGTTCAAAAACCGCAAATTACGACCAGCATAAAGGTAAACTGTTTTGTTAGAACAAATTTCATAATAACATCGAATTCGATTTTATTATTACATTCAAATTTCGAACATCTCTGAAAAACAAAACAATTTGATTCAACCTCAATTCTAATATCAGTCGAGATGAAGTTTTATTCCAAATAAAATTTCAATAGCAAACAATATTGATAAATTTCACACGTTACTTGATATCGAACGATATGATGCCGTGTTGAGGCAGACTCTAGTTTGTCTGTGAATTTAAAAAAAAACAACGCTTGCGTAACATGCGGTTCCTGAACACATAATAGAGAGCTTATAATATGTGTACAGGTAAAACAGTACATAATTGGGCATTAAAACCCTCGTATTTTATTAATGCTTTTCATTACGTAATAGTGACATAAACTACTATTTTCTACGTGAAAATTGATACAGGGTTAAATAAAAATTTATTTATTGCCTATTAATAAGAATATGTAGTACTAAGCTATTATAATAATTAATTATACGAAGTTTCTACTCAAGAATAATGTTCATATTAAGTTCCTGTATAATAATAATTTGTCTTTAAAAGCACCTAAGTAAGAATAATTCATTACAATAAGCTTGTAACTAAAGGGCAGGTCACACCGCGAACGAACCTAACCGAGCTAGCTCGTAAAGTAGCCCAACGCTCCCACTAAGTGATGTAAAATATGTCGCCCTACGTACTTTCTTATCGGGCATAGTTGTTTGCATGGAACTACGTGAGCTAAGCTAAGTTAGCTTAGTTTCGTTTACGGTGTGGCCTGCACTTAAGACGATAACTCAAAAAAACCAAATAGATAAAAAAAATAACGTACGCAATAATTACTAATACATATTTTTTCATATGAATAGAAATTAGTGAGATTTAGCCTTAGACAAATAGTGCCATGAGAGTTATTTTTTAAATCTAGTCAATTTGTTATAATTATTAATACAAAGATTCGAACACTTAGAAAAAATTCTTTCGATCCGGCCGGATTCGAACCGCCGTCTTCTAGCAAACTAAGCCACGGAACGTACCAGCGGACCTCACGAATTTTCGTACGTACTTGTTGTCAGATCTTTGTATATTTGGTTATTCAACGACGTTTTAGCAGTAACCATCTATAGTAGTAATCATAGTAGCCATCTATGAGAAATCTATGAAAGTATTTCGTCACCCAGTTAGGTAACTCTACAGCTACCAGCCCTGGATAGCGATGTCGCTATTAACTGTATTTAAATTTGTATTGAATTGACATTCAATTATTTTTATGTGAAATTACTCCACTAGTTTGTTATAATTATTAATAATAATAATAATAATAATAATATCATTTATTTTCTCCCAAAATGTACAAGATAGATGTAAAAATAAATTTAAATAGAGCATGAAAATGGGAGACAAAGATCAAACACGTAGAAAAAATTATTTCGATCCGGCCGGATTCGAACCGGTGTCTTCTAGCAAACCGTGCCAGACGCTATGTCGACTAAGGCACGGAACGAACCAGCGGACCCCACGAATATTTTCTATGTGCTTGTTGTCAGACCTTTGTATTATTGCGATATGTTCTGTAATAAAAAGTGTCGTACAAACCTCTGACTTGCTGTTCGAGCGTCATGATGACTTCAACGGCCATGTTGAGTATGCCAAGCTTGGTCTGAGGTTTGTCGCTTTTCAGGTGTGTCATGCACATCCGGCCGAGTTCTTTTAGCGCCTCGTTTATGTCCCTTATTCTTATCCTGGTGAAACTCGTGTTTGTAAGTCCAATGTAGTAAAACTGAATTCTACAGGGCGACGTTTTGTAACGTAGTACAAGAAATATTGCAAAATTTGAAATTAACTTTGGCAATGGAAAAGCATTTTTGTCTGGTTACAAAACAGTCATAAGAAAAAAATAATTTTATAAGAAAGTTTATTAATTATTTTATATTTTCAAAACACGCAAAAATGTCGCCCTATATATTAAAGTAGCAACCAGTCTATTCATAATTAAAATATATATATATACATATAAAAAATGCACTTATATATATATTTATATTATATTACATAAAAACATATACTTAATTTATTAAAAAGCCCTGAAAAAGTACTTTAGTCACAGTATGTCATTTTCCATTCATTTTTTATGTGTATTTTTATGATTGCTGACGCTATTAACCTTCTACACCGAATAATTATTGTAAAAAAAAGAAATGAACGAAAATTAAATTGCATGTTGTTTAAATATCATTCTTTGCAATATGTAAATAATGAAGTTTATTAATGACAGATTTATAATAAATATATTTTCATTTTGGAACCTCAATTATATTAAGAAAACAAACAT